CATCGTTACTTTTTTCTTGTACTTGTATGTCTTTTTCTTTATTTTTATGTTCTGTTTCTTCTTCTATAGTAACAAAAAGGTCTGGCAAATCATCATTATTGTTTAATTCTAAAAAATCTTCTGCTTCAACTTGCAATAAGAACTTGATCTCTTGTTCACAACCCGAAGGCACTGGAGAATCAATACAATTACTTATATCGATGGTAACATCTGTAAAAAAGGTAAATCCTTCCGAATGGTAATTTTAAAGTCTTATGCGGTGTAGGATATTCGCAAATGTATGAATTTTGCCTCGAATTATGAAACGAAGGTACGAAACAGCCTTTATAGACTTTATATTACTTTGTTGAAATGACGTATATTTATTTAATAAATAAGATGAAAACGCATTGTAATCTGACATGCCTTTCGTTTAGTATTTAAAGGATAGCAACTAACCTAATTTATATAACCAAAACTCATTAATTGGGTCAAAACAAATATTTTGAAGTAGAATAAAGACACTAACACCATTACGGCTTCTTCTTTTCCATACATTCGTATTTTTACAATCCCGCAGAAAAAAGCCCCAATCAACACAAGGGCCTTGTTCTGTGTTTTACAAGTATTATAACTACATAAACTAAAAGCATCTCATTATTAGGTTAATACCTAAGGAACTATAGTACGCACGATAAATACACTCACAATCGCGGTCCGCGGAGTACTGACCGAGCGGCGCTCGCGCCTCCCGTCCGCCCCGCACGCACACAGTTCCAGTCCTAAAAGATGGCTGTAACGGCAATAGAGTCTATATTTTAGGTATTTTTTCCCCGTCATGAAATTGTGGCTTTACAATTAATTGAAATATCAAGAAAAGTTTTAAACTTTATTATACAGTTATTAGACTAAAAGATGTCTAAATTATTGTAGAATGTAAAAAATAAATAAAAGAAAAAAGACCTTATGATCATAGGGGCAGTTTTCGTGGGATACGACGGACTATGCCGCCTATAACATAAAAAAAAATAATAATAAACAATATTTTGTAAAGCAACAACCAGGGCAAAAAAAGCGCAAGTTGGCACTACTTATGTCACTTTTGTTTCTTAAGAGACCTTTTACAAAATTGCGCTGCTGCCGTACTGATCGGCGCGTAGGTAGATAGATGTGCACTAGTATATATTGCATTTTACGGGTGATGTTTCGAGTCTTATAAAATAATTATTAATGAACTAATTATAAAAATATATACATATTTCAGTAGTTCAATGCTGGTAGATTAGTTTTAGGAACATTTTTGATAGTAATTCTATTTATTTCAATATCAAAATACGAGATAAACCTGCATTATTTTTAGGGAAAACTCACGGAGGTTAGATGCTTTTTTTGATAATCAATGAGAAGGAAAATCAAAATTCTAATACATTATGTTACAACAAAAACATATTTCTGATGTCGTAGTAATTAATTTGATCTAATTTATTGAACATTAGTGAGAGATTGAGGCGTTTGAAGTTGTGCATATTATCGTTTTTTCCGTAAACTAGCTGCGGTAGAACGATCAGTACAAAAAAAGGAAAACAGTATTTGCCAATTTTTTACATTAACTTACAATCTATACTTATAATAAATCTGTAGAGAGGTCAATTCTGTACATGAAATATATTTTCAAAATAACTATCAGGGGGTGATTAGTGATCGATACTGATGCCAAAAATGCAATCAGTAAAATTTTTGTCTGTCTGTCTGTCTGTATACAGGGTGAAATTGAATGTTTCAATGAAACTTCGTGAGATTGTTGGGTTATGTGTATAGAGTATCCCTGATTTTTTTCGGATTTTTTTATAATTATTTTTTTCGTTTTTTAGTTTTTTTAATTGTGCATTTTTGTGTCCTTTCCTCTTTTGAGTAATAATTATTTTTAAACACGTATTCATAGTATGTGAAATATAACAAATAAATAAGCACTACTAAAATAAACGAATAAAATAGTGGATGCGGCCAGGCGAGGTCGACGGACGCCGGCCGCCTGTGAAGGTACCTACCGCGCACAGCTGACGCGGCGCGTATCTACTGTACAGTACAGTAAAATCGTCAAAGGCAATTAATACGGAATAGATCGCTCTCAATTCTGAGACTACTACCTTGAGATACTATGTTCATACAAAACAGCATCTCAAGATCGCTCTCAGAGTTGAGAGCGTTCTGATAGATATTTAGATGCCATATTACAATAACAGATTTATTTAAATAAAGAACAAGTGTTATCTTCTCATTAGCAGAGAAAAATACCTAAAAAGTTAATAATAAATTATAACTAAGTATTAGACAGTACTTACGAGACCGGCGATGTAGGTAGGTACTACGAGAAACGAGGAACATATTCATTTTTTTCACTAGAACTTTTTATCAAATCAATCACACTGGTAGTACACTAATTAGTTGTTTCAAATCAAAAAGTATTTACACTAGCAATAAAAAGAGACTTAAATTGTTGCTGTAAACCACCATTTTGCTGCAAACAAAGGTAGGCACGTTTGCGGACATGTCTTTCCACCTTTTTTAAAGTGTCCCTATCACTACTCACTGCACAAAATGCAACTTCTATGGTTTGGGGACTCATTTGTAGACCAAACCTACTTCGTCACACTCACGATAGCAGTACACCATCTCTAAATATTCTTGGTTTGTATACCGAGGCATAATGAAATTATCACAGTGTATGTCACTAAGTACAAAGATGCGCACGCTCACGCGCGATTGATATTAATACAATCAAAGCAAACCACCGCACGCGGGGAAGAGGGGAGGGGGGCGGAAATCGGAATTCACATCATCAAAGACGCCGCAAATACTTTTAAAATTGCTAGGCCGGCGCTAGGGCTGCATGTTTCTTGCCAGCGTGCGGCGCGCCGCCCGCCCGTGTTTGCCGCAAAACAACATATTGTTATGTGTGTGTGTGTGTGTGACTGTGGCTGTGATTAAATGTGTTCGGAATTTCATGACGTGGGCAAATCAGACACGAAGAGTTCCTTCCTTCACTAAGCTTGTAAGTTATACCGATAAAATTTTAAATAAGCCGTTTGTTCTTAAGTTTTAATTAAACGAAGCAACTAACATTAACAATAAAAAAGAAGTTCTTACACTAACAGACAGGCTTTACCGATTTAAAATCGTGACAGTCATACTAACTTTATAGGATTTTTAATTGCTCTAACAGAAGATTTATTTTATTGACTAATTACCTGTGCATTATGAAATAATATTCAAAGGTATTGTGTATCAGTGAATAAATAATTATAATATAGCATCTAAGACTATTTTATTGTAATGTTTTTAAATAGTATGGAATCAAATAGGAAAGTAGGTAAGCGCCGAGTCATCTGTGCGTGTAGTAGGTACCTACACAGGCGGCCGCCGCCGGTCGTCGCCCTGGCCGGCGATCTCGACTGGAGGCATTCATTAAGTTTCCCTTTTTTTAGGAGTGCTTAATTTAAGTTGTTTTACAACTTCTATGTAGACGTGTTTAAAATGAATAATTACTCATAAGGAAGAAATGACAAAAAAATAACCAAATAAAAAAATAAAAACGAAAAAAATTATTTTAAAGAATCCGAAAAAAAACAGGCATACTCTATACACATAACCCAACAATCTCACGAAGTTTCATAGAAACATTCAATTTCACCCTATATATGTTCCTTATAGAAACAAAAAGTACTCGACGGATTTTACCGAAACTTGGTACAATTATTCTTTATACTCCTGGGCAGGTTATAGTATACTTTTCATCACGCTACAATTAATAGCAGCAGAGTAGTGAAGGGAAATGTTGGGAAAACGTTAGAAGTTACTCCATTTTTTAAGCTTCCGTCGCGTGTGCAGCCTTAATGGTTAAAGTTACATAGAAATCATGTATGACGGAAATATTCTACATAAAATTGTCTTAAAAAATAGCCCGCAACAGCATATGTCTATCTTTTATGGTTGACTCACAATAACACGTGTAACTCCTGATAGCTTAGCAGTTCGAAGCATTCTGATTATATTTGTTTACTCTTACGTTTATAATACTCTCACTCATCCTTAATTTAAAAAAAAAATGGGTGCGTGTACTTACGTACGCGCGTGAGAAGTTATACTTCTTTGGCATCATTAAAAAATGGTTTTTAATGGTATGCAAATAACTAATTACAATAAAATAATAAAAGGACTGGAAAAGGATAGTCTACGCAGTCAATAAAGTTCAGTTTAAATTGAAAAATTAAATAAATAATTAAAATATTCAATTTAAATCAGCACTGAATATTATTTATTAGCACATAATATAATTTGCACTTATTTGAAATTAAACCACGTGTTGTGAATATAGAAACATGTGGATAAATATTATAAATATGAATGAACAGTGATCAGAAGCGACGAGCGTGCCAACATGTGCGACTAACTTCATGCTGTTACTTTTGTGTTACAGTGATGCGCGCGCATCTTAAAATTTCACTCTCATCACTTTTTCATAACGCGTCTAAATAAGTATAACTTCAAAAATTTAACATTATTTATTACCTATTCAATAAATAAGAATCATAGAAATCGGTATAGAAACACCAAATTTATACATGAAATAAGCCATCGCGCCGTCGCACGTGAATACTGAATCATGCTTTAAGGATTATTGAAGTGAAACTTCTTTATCGGCGTTGGAAAAAAAATTACCGTCACATTTTTCGGTTACGCGTCACATTTTTTGGTTACGCGCCATCTTTTTTTTGGTAATAACAACGACGATAAACATATGAAGATAATAGGTAATTTAAATACAAATCATTTATTATTCGGACAACATAGATCATAATGACCAGCTGACCAGCGCGTGTCGGCATTTGTCGGTGCTTATCGGCGCTTATCGGCGCTGATCGGCTTTAGGCTTTCCTTCTGTATACGGCCTAAGGGCTCCTTAAAATTGAGTAGTCTAGTATGTACCTATTTTATGAAAGATTTGAAAATTAAAAACTTACTTCTCCAAAGCTGTGGTGTACGCGAGGAGTATGCAGGCATTGACTACCATATCAACTGGTATCATATCCGGATGTAGAGAATCGTCGCAATGCATAGTTCTTGTCACACCTACAAAATTATATTAAGAAATTTAATTGTACGTACCTAACGTTGTTCTAAACTTCCGTGGTCACTAATCACTAACACGATAGATATATATAGAGTTCTACCCAGAAGGGATAGAACCTGGGAGCGTAGATGTTAATTGAAAGATACTGATAGAGATAAGTTATTTATTTTGTTTTATCATTCAGGCTAATATAAAAGTATTTTATCTAAATACGAGAGGAATTCTTGGGGCCTGAAGATCTAATCTTGAATGGAACCTTCTATCAAAAGACAGACGATTCCTTATTTCAAATTAAAATCATGACATTAACTTTTTAATATAACTGCCAACTGTAGGCATTGCAAAAGCAAAGAGTTTACTTAAACAAGGAGGCTGTAACGTCTCGGACGTCACAGTACCTTGTTTTTTACAAGTCCTTGATTTATGGCACTTGTGACAGTGCCGAAATATTGGAAAATCGTAAAAAACTAAGTACATTGCAACAATCTCTATATTAGTAAGTACGTTGATTTATAAGATCAAATAATAATATATCTTAATATATATCTTCATAATACATCCAAAGCTGTTATGGAACAGTCCTCGTGTCACTTTTCTTAAAATAAAACGCCTGAATTTATGAAATAGCAAACCTTTATCAACGCGCAAAGTAATACAGTTGAGTAATTTGCCATAATTTTTTTGGTAGGCGTTAAGAATATTTTAATTTGGTTTTATTACCTTTACCACAGCCGACCACAAACCCTGTAGGACCATTTAAATTGTCTACCCAACCAGGCATTGGCTCCTTATATGACGCGACCACTGGAAAAAAAGTAAATTAAGATATATTGTAGGTAAATAGGTATAAAACATTCATTCAAATTTAAAAATAAAGTTTATTTCGTCTACTCACCGATAGATGGCCGTGTTATGACTATAGGGAATTTCTCAGCGTACTGTGCCACCAGGTCTTCGGCCAAAGCTTTTGTGTAAGAGTACGTATTAGGCTGCGGCTCTATGAGTCTGCAAATATGAGGATATAACCCTCAAACAGGAACAAAAGGCAGATGGAACGCCCCGAACACGCAAGTGCGGTCATGAAAGCAATTACGATATCGAAAGCAGGGCTTGTAACCGGTTTCAAAAATACCGGTAAATAAAGTTTAACACCGGTTTTTAGTAAAGGTTTCGTTCGGAGCGCGTCCGAAATGAAAGCGGTACCTAAAACCTTAATAATTAAATAAAATTAATCCAGAGCGACACGTGCACGCGTCGGTATCGCTTGAAGTTTGTTTTGTTTGAACTAATCAAGTCACAACTTGTTAAGGCTCAGAGATTAATGCATTTATTGACACGTTTGCTAGCGTCTAGTGAGTCAAGTTATTCATTTTGTAGTTGTGTACTGACACACTACTTCACTCACTCGCTCTGTTGTTGGAAAGAAACTGACATAAAATCATTATAAATTTGAATTGAAACGGCGAAGGCGATGCCGTAAGAGCGAAATGAAACCCTTTAAAAACCATTGATTCAAAACCTATTTGATTTCGCTTTTTAGAAAACCGGTTTTTTTAAGGTTAAGGTAGAACCAATCCTAAATAAAACGCTCCTAATGTACTTGATACTGATTTAGGTTTGAAAATTAACCGGTAAACAAACCCTGATCGAAAGTGAGAACATATTCCCGTCAATATGGTACAACGCATCGTGTTTTAAATACGTCCCGTGAATATAAAGTTGGTATCAAGACTGTGCCGCCTTGTTCAAACACTGTAAAAACTGTATACAAAGACAAAAGAAGTCTTGACTTTTGACCTCATATTTGCTTCGGGGGCCGCACTTGTGTGTTCGGTGCGTTTTGTAATTTGAGATATTACCTATTTTAAGTTCAAATTTGAAACAGGAAACAGTTTTAATTAATGATATTTTGGTTGGAACAGCATGTTATAAAGTTTTATTACTCAAAGAAAGTTGTGAGCTGAAAAGACCTGGCAATGATTTGAGTGACAATTTTTCGGCCAATGTTACCATTGAATTTCGTCATCATAATAAATAATAATGCAAAAATTTATCGTATTGTGCAATATCTAAAACTCCTGACACTCCTCGTAAAAATTAAGGAGTAGGTGCATAAAAGCTATTACCCAATAAAATTTTACAAATGGTAATTGGCTGTTACTTCTTACAACAGTACGAGTATGAGGGACAATATTTATAATACATACCGACTAACAATTAATTATTAACATAATCACCACCAGCCTATTAATGTCCCCACTGCTGGGGTAGTACCGGTCTGGTCCGGTCAACGACGCAGTCAGAACCAAGTTTTGTTCAAGTTATGAGCATTTGCTCACATAACTGTGGCGCGCCTGCCCCGCCTACAAGGCACTTCTAACCACTTTCTGTATTCTGTGGCCATGACCCACAACGTGGGCCAATACGAATTAGTGGGTGACCAACAGCTTGACGTGCCTTCCAAAACAAGGAGGAGCTTAAGATAATAAGTTTTTGGTCACCCATCCAATGATCGACCATTGCTAAAGTTGCTTAACTTTCACGATCGCAGCCCGATTGCGTTAGTAACCTACGCTACCGAGCTCCTCGAATCAATTGTATGTCAATCAATATGTATTTCTATATAAAAAATTCAGTCACAATTCATATCGAACACTGACTTGGGCTGCAGATGCTCTAGTAATTTGTCATCCATCCAGGAGACACAGTTCATGATCTGGTGAGGCTTGTGCTTTGAGGGGTACATTTTGTCCTCCAGTACTTCCAGATCACAGTGGGTATACGCCGTGGAGACGTGCACGAAGACCTGGAAACCGAACGCAAAAGTAAGAGCTATAAAAGTCATTATACACCGTGAATTTTGAGTTACCTGAAAAACTTTACTAGCTAATTTCGTCAACGAATTAGGTTATATTTGCATCTTATTAGGTTATATTTGTGTCGCCGCACACGGGCCACCAACCACAACCACAAAACGCCGCCACCGGCATATTTCTTGTAGTTTTCATACGTTTTATATGGACTCGCCACACACGGTACGCCGGTGGCCGCCACATGCTACAAATCGTCGTTGCTCGCTTAATGCGCCGCTACAAAACGCCACCACACGTCACTCGCGCGACTCCCCACCCCTCTCTCCCTTACCTTAGTCGGCCGCTGTCGCGCGCTTAAGCCACTTTAGTAGCCGCTTCTAGCTTCTCGTGGCGGCGTTTGTGGCTGTGGCGTGTGGCCCGTACGCGGCGACACTTACAAGTGTTAGAAATCTTTATATATATAATTCTTCTGTGAGTGTGTATGTCACTGAACTTCTCTTAAACGACTGGACCGATTTTGATGAAATTTTTTGTGTGTGTTCAAGGGGATCTGAGAATGGTTTAGATTCACAATTTTGTCCGCTGGACAACCCCTATTTTTTAGGGCGGTACGAAGTTCGCTGGGTCAGCTAGTCTTTATATATATAATTCTTCTGTGAGTGTGTATGTCACTGAACTTCTCTTAAACGACTGGACCGATTTTGATGAAATTTTTTGTGTGTGTTCAAGGGGATCTGAGAATGGTTTAGATTCACAAAGACGTTTAGACAGGACAACGTCTGTCGACCCGACAGCTTGTATTTATATAATTGAGTGAATCTGGTCGGTTTGGCCACTAGTCATAGTCGTGGACTAGTGCAAGAGATGCCTTATCCTACCTCTTGGAGCCCTAGAACCTTACTCAGAAACAGAAACGCAACACCGCCGAAAAGAAGTGTTATTTTGGGCGGTGTAGCTGTAGTCATCTGTAAGTTGGAAGTTGCTTCTTGCTTCAAGACAGGCACTCCAATTCGAGTATACTAACCTCTCATGAAATGATAAATGTCAAATAGATTCCTAAACTCTTTGATTCTCACCTCCAGCTTGGTCATCCCGGAGGCCAGATCCAGCACCCTCTGGGTCCCAACGGTGTTAAAGTTGACCGCGTCCCGGAGAAACATGTCGAATCTGAAATTAACATTAGTAACTTTATGGCAAGTGAGATAAGTTTTGATTTCGGCTGAACAATAGTGAGGAGCCCGATGGCGCAGGTGGCTAACGCTTCCAGCTGCAATCGTTGAAGTTAAGCAACTTTCGCAATGGTCAGTCATTGGATGGGTGACCAAAAATCTTCTATAAAGAGTTCCTCCGTGTTTCGGAAGGCACGTTAAGACGTTGCTCCCGGCTGCATCTGCAGACGTTAGCACCCGCCAATCCGCACTGGGCCCGCGTGATAGGTTATGGCCCAATCTCCCTATTCCATCCATAGGGAAGGCCTGTACCCCAGCAATGGGGACATTAATAGGCTGATGATGATAATGATATTACCTTATTAATATCAATGCTCAAACTACTAGATTTCTTGAATTTATGTATATATTTCTTAATATATACAGGGCGTCCCACGGCTACCTCACACGGAGGGAAAGTATATTAAATATTGAAGATAGGATATTTTACTGAAAGAAGACATCATTTTATTTTCAATAAAAAATAGAACTGCATTCACAGAATTTTTGAAGTTATACTTCTTTAGCCGCGTTATGAAAAAATTATGAGAGTGAAAATGAGAGAGAAAAGATGCGCGCGCATCACTGTAACACAAAAGTAACATAATGAAGTTAGCCGCGGGCGCGTTATGAAAAAATGATGTGAGTGAAATTTTAAGATGCGCGCGCAACACTGTAACAGAAAAGTAACACCATGAAGTCGGCCGCTAAACTGCACATTACTCGTAAGTCTCGAAAAAAAGCTTCCAACAAAATAGTTATAGGATCAAGAGATCATAATAAAGTGATATACAAAATGTAGCACGTATGCATTTCTTTTTGAACTCACACTTACAATGCGATTGTATGAAATTGATAAAAATAATAATTCGAAAATGGAACATAAATTTTCTGTTCTTTTGTTTTTTATGAGTTTCGTTTTCGTTTATTTGCATTTTTGAAGTTATACTTCTTAAGGCGCGTTATGAAAAAATGATGAGAGTGAAATTTTAAGATGCGCGCGCATCACTGTAACACAAAATTTTAACAGAATGAAGTTGGTCGCTTTAGCGACCAACTTTATGCTGTTACTTTTGTGTTTACCGCACATTAAGAAAATCTACCAACAAAATAGAAATATAATCTCTATTTAGTGGGTGCTAACGACTGCATTGTGAAGGCCTATCAAAAGTATTTATTAATCTGGAACAACGGAACCAAAGCGCGATTCAGGAGGCTACAGCGCCATCTCTTGACCATTGGTGTAGTAGAACCAAAAACCACATCTTTATTTTTTGTAATAAAGTAACAGTTATAGGTATTCATATTTATAATATTTATCCACATGTTTCTAGTTTATATATTCGGAATACGTGTTTGAGTTTCATACAAGTGCAAATCACATATGTTCTAATAAATTATATTCAGTAGCGATTTTAATTGAATATTTTGATTATTTATTTATTTTATCAAATTAAAACTGAACTTTATTGACTGTGTCCTTTTCCAGACTTTTTATTAATTTATTGTAATTAATTATTTAAAAACTAATTTTAAACGATGCCAAAGAAGGATAACTTCTCACGCGCCTACATAAGTACACGCACCCATTTTTTTGTTAATTTACTTAACATGGCGTGTCAAATTAAAATGGATTTAATGAAAGCTTACTTTATGAACCACAAAGACATATTAGCTTTGCGATGGTACCGCAAAAGATATCCTGATAGAGACGTACCTTCTCAATATTTGTTTAAAAGGTTAGTGGATACTTTAAGAAATTAAGGACGTTTTGATATGCGCTTACAGAAACCACAGCAGCGGTTGATAAACGTCAACGATGATGAACTCAAGATTTTAACTTACTTTCAGGCGTATCCGATTTTATATTAGTTTGTGTTAAATAATTTTGAATAAAACGTTAAATTTAATTAAGTTTTCTTTCATTTAAAATGCTATGTTATTTAGCAAAAAATAATCCTTATAATTAAGCCTTTCGATGGTTATCATAAGATAGGTCGTGTTTTTTTTTCGAAATTTCACGAGTTTGATTCCCAGTTGTAGCAGGCGATTTTAAAAAAATCTGTGAATGCAGTTGCAGTAAAATATTCTATCTTCAATATTTAATATACTTTCCCTCCGTGTGAGGTAGCCGTGGGACGCCCTGTATATATTATGATTACTCAATTTTACTCTTAATATTTTAGTTTATGTTTTGAAAACTCCTCACCTTGCCGGTCTGCAAAGATGCGCTTAACGCCTCTTTTCAAGGAGCCCGGGTTGTACGATTGAGGAAACACGTGATGACGACACCGGACAAAGCACAGTATACAAAGAGGTTAGAAGGGTGATCTTAGACCAGTTGTACGGGAACCGATGTCGCCGGCTCGCCCCCGCTACACTTCCACCTAATAATCAATAACCAATCAAACGACGTGACATCAAATAATCGAACCAATCAGCGCTCACAGCCAAGAGCAACGGCGCAATCGGAACCAAGTTTTGGTCAAGTTATGAGCATTTGTTCACACATAACTGTGGCGCACCTGTCCCGCCCACAAGACGCTTCTTACCTCTTTCTGGGTTCTGTGGGACAAAGCATTCCATTTACATAGAAACTACCTGACACAAGCAGCGCAGTGGAGCACCACGTGACACTCCTTCTGCAGCATCTCCCGGTCGTCAATGCTCATTCCCAGGTCTTCCACCAGGATGTCACCTGGAACCACTCGCAGCTTCTGCAGCTGTTCTGGATACTCGCTGTTTAAGTAATCGAACACCTGGAAAAGAAATACTATAAAGATCGTTTATTCTTCATAAATAATACATAGCTGCATAGATTTCTATGCATCACAAAACATTTGTTTTCATTTCTGAAATATTCTTTCTTAATGGTATTGCTACTCGTTAAAAGATGGCGCTACAACTCACCTTGCAGTTCAAAAATTCGTCTATCCTTTCCTTACTACTGTGCCCCTTCTTGGACCTCATGAGCACGTACAAGCACTTTACATCGGGACAAGACCTCAGGATCTTCTCCACCAAAACTTTTCCCATGAAGCCTGTGGAGCCCGTGATGAATAAAGACTTCCCAGCGTAGTACTCCTTTACACTAACAGATGGCGCCATCGTCAATGTGCCTACAGCATGAATTTTTTTAAACCGCTTATATATAAATAAAACAAGTATTTAAAAATAATGTTTTTAATTAATTAGATATGTATAAAAAACGGTCATATTTTTGTTTGAACAAATCACTGATGAAAGCTTCTATCCGAAAAAGTTTCAAATCTAGTGGTGCCATAAAAAAGTGTTTTCGTGTCTGTTATTACATCCGCTAACTCCTGCTAAATTGCACAACAGTTTTTAAGGCGGGTTTCACCTGTCAGTGACATAATTTTTCACGAAACAAATCCCAAGAACAAAAACGATATTCTTACAGAAGATAGATAATTTTAAATCTTTCTCCCCAGCCCCCCCCCCCCCCCCCCCTCCAAAAGCTAAATTGTCTTGAAAAACCTAGAAAAAAATCATGATAATAGTGCTTTTTTTAACTTTCTAGCTGACCCAGCGAACTTCGTACCGCCATAAAAATAGGGGCAGGTGGAAGAAGAGAAAATTTAGGATTGTATGTATTTTTTAATACCACAATATAAAAAAATAAATATTGTCAAAAAAATTTTTAGGGATGTGTAACATAGTGTTCTATCAATTTCCAGGGATAACATTCCTCCTAACCCAAAATATGAGAACACTACGTTACAATACCCTATAGTTTGAATTTAGGCGCGAAGGCGCATTGTAGGTTTAACAACACTACGTTACAGGTGGAGAACCATTATCACTTAAGGATATGAAAAATAGATAGTAGCCGATTCTCAGACCCACGGAATATGCATATAAAATTTCATAAAAATCGGTCGGGCCGTTTCGGAGGAGTATGGTAACATTGTGACACGAGAATTTTGTATTATATGATAAGGAAAACACTATAACCTTGCATTACAACTAAATCTAAGCAAAAACTATTTAAAAGTCACAGTAAAATATCATTAGTTCCACAACGCTACCGCGCGTTAGGCTTGTTGAAAATATATCGATATATCGATATTTTATGTTCGATATATCGATATTTTTTGCCGATATATTTTGATTCGATATATCGATACATCGATACAAAATAACCAATATCGAAATTCGTATCAAAAACGATATTTTTTAATTATTAGCGGCATATCACGATCTAACTAAATTCGTATCTGGAAAAATCGTAACTGGATCTCAGATTAATGATATTCAACACATCTATGATCTGTGCTGTATTTAGTATTGTCTATTATTTGTAAATCTGTTTCGCTGGTGAATCGGTTGTGCTGATTTCCATTATATTCTGTGGAAGTTTGTGACTGTCTAGTCTTGTTTACGAAAGATGGCACCTGAGAAGCCCTGCAATCATTTTCATCATTCGAAAATAGGGTCTATTTTTAGGGAGATAATTTTCGTTCCATTATTATTCCGCGTGTCATATTCGTGAGATACTGTACTGTCATGTAATGTAGCGGCAATTTGGTACTTTGATAATTCTTTCTTTAATTAGAATTTGTATTGAACTATTATTACTGTGCTAGGCTGACCTAAATATATTTTTTGGGAAAATTGGTCCCATATATCGATGTTTTTTTCGCAATATATCGAAGCCGATGTTGATATTTTTTAAAATATCGATGTATCGATATATCGATATTTTTTTCAACTTTCGACATCCCTACCGCGCGTACCAACGGCAAAGGCTTCTGAGTCGCGCTAACGTTTCGTTTTTTATTAAAAGTATACCTAAGCACTTGAAAATATCGGCGGTTATACCGCATCATCCCTTTCTCAGGGAATGATCGCTATAGATGAAGCTTTTAGTCAGTAAGAGTCTGACATAACCTTGCAGCCGGCTGTAGGGAATCCATGAGAATTTTCCACCCGCTCCCACGCCTGGGAGGAAACAAACAAAAAATTCAGCGGTTATCATTCGTATAAAAACAAAAAAAAATGGGTGCGTGTACTTATGTAGGCGCGTGAGAAGTTATCCTTCTTTGGCATCGTTTAAAATTAGTTTTTAATTGCATGCAAATAATTAATTACAATAAATTAATAAAAAGTCTGGAAAAGGACACAGTCAATAAAGTTCAGTTTTAATTTGAAAAAATAAATAAATAATCAAAATATTCAATTAAAATCGCTACTGAATATAATTTATTAGAACATATGTGATTTGCACTTGTATGAAACTCAAACACGTATTCCGAATATACAAACTAGAAACATGTGGATAAATATTATAAATATGAATACCTATAACTGTTACTTAAAGATGTGGTTTTTGGTTCTACTACAACAATGGTCAAGAGATGGCGCTATAGTCTCCTGAATCGCGCTTTGGTTCCGTTGTTCCAGATTAATAAATACTTTTGATAGGCCTTCTCAATGCAGTCGTTAGCACCCACTAAATAGAGATTCTATTTCTATTTTGTTGGTAGATTTTCTTAATGTACGGTAAACACAAAAGTAACGCATGAAGCTGGTCGCCAAACTTCTCGCATAACTTCAAAAACGTATTGATTTTGAGTTTGAGGCACAGTTTGCCTTTGATTTAGGTATTTTAGTTGAAATACATAGATTTATTTTAATTTGTTTTTCTAATTTCCGATATAGAAAATAAAGACTCCGGCTCAAATATATTGTGGTAACTACAGGCAACTTACACTGCGCGTAGTACGACACGGACTTGGCTGGATTTTTTAAATACAAACTTACCTAATTATAAATATTATGAACACGTCTAGATTACTTTGTAATCTTTCACGACTGAATTTTGACTGAAAACAGCGTTAATATAGAGGGGCGAGAGTTGTTATAAATTCTGAATTTATTGACACGAAAGGTAAGCGCCTTTCTGACCTGTATTGTCATCTGAAGATTTGATAACAATTGATGATGATGATAAGGATTGTCATATTTTTAACCGACTTGAAAAAGGCGGAGGTTCTCAATTCGTCAGTACTTTTTTGAAGTTATACTTCTTTAGGCGCGTTATGAAAAATGATGAGAGTGAAATTTTAAGATGCGCGCGCATCACTGTAACACAAAATTTTAACAGCATGAAGTTGGTCGCTTTAGCCAACTTCATGCGTTACTTTTGTGTTTACCGCACATTAAGAAAATCTACCAACAATATAGAAATAGAATCTCTATTTTGTGGGTGCTAACGACTGCATTGTGAAGGCCTATCAAAAGTATTTATTAATCTGGAACAACGGAACCAAAGCGCGATTCAGGAGACTACAGCGCCATCTCTTAACCATTGGTGTAGTAGAACCAAAAACCACATCTTTATTTTTTGTAATAAAGTAACAGTTATAGGTATTCATATTTATAATATTTATCCACATGTTTCTAGTTTGTATATTCGGAATACGTGTTTGAGTTTCATACAAGTGCAAATCACATATGTTCTAATAAATTATATTCAGTAGCGATTTTAATTGAATATTTTGATTATTTATTTATTTTTTCAAATTAATACTGAACTTTATTGACTGTGTCCTTTTCCAGACTTTTTATTAATTTATTGTAATTAATTATTTGCATGCAATTAAAAACTAATTTTAAGCGATGCCAAAGAAGGATAACTTCTCACGCGCCTACATAAGTACACGCACCCATTTTTTTTAAATTTTCTGTATCTCCGAGATGCGTGGACTGATTGTAATGATTCTTTTTAACAGTTTTTTTAAAAAGATTGGCCCATGTTGGTTTGGTGAAGATCTGATGAACTTTCGGAGGAAACAATAGTGGAACGCCTCAATTATAAAAGAGATAACGCAGTCATATACTTAGTTAATTGATTCTGGCTAAGAAAAATAAAAACATATTTAATAAAAACTAAATCCGAATTCATAAAAAGCTTTTATTCATATTTCAGAAGAAAAGACAAACCGTCGACAAAAAAGATACTCCTTTATTTGAATACCTTAAAACAATAGGGTATTTGACAGTATTAAAAATAAAGTGCCAATTGTTAGCATATCTGTGTTTAGATTGAATAATAGCAGGGGTTTTTACTATTTTTACAAAAAAATATTCGTAATATTACTAAAAACCCTCGAAAAAGATATTAGTTTCCTTATCTATTGTCACGTGACCCAAAACGCTTGGGATTGGCGGAGCCTAAAATGACGTCACACGCAAGTAAACTTCCGGTTAAGTGACATTACATTGTATCGTTTGACGTTTTAATAACAGTCGTGTGACGTCACACACTAGTAAGACGCCATATTGTCCTGAGAAACGTTTTCGCGGCAACTTGAAAATGGAGTTTTTGATTTGGTTATTTTTACTGAAATACACAACAGAATGATTTATAGGTATCCACTTTTTACGGACTCCATAAACATTAGACAATAACGCGAGATCGTTGCCTAAAACTTGTCAAATACCCTATTAAAGTGTAGGTATCCTCAGATACCCTAAAAATTTTGGCCCGGGTGGGAAATCCTCATGAAATCAAATCATCAAATCAATCTTAGAGATGTTGGATTATGCAATTCTATACTGTCTCAACCGACTCCAAAAGTAGCTATTAAGCTGTACAACTTAATTATAAAATTGTTTAGAATAAGGAGTAGTAAAAGTTAATTAATAGTATAATTATTGTAAACACTAGCCATCAAAAACATAACTTGTAAAAAAAAACCAAGTCTCGCAACTCAGTTCAACTTCTTCTTAGGGGTGGGCGTTTTTAGATAACGCATCCGATGCGACTGGATGCCGTTATTGGATGCCGATGCCATCTAGTTTTCGTCAACGTTACTATAGCAACGGTGCCACAAACTTATCTATGCCGGTGAAGATGTCGCTGGCGGTGAACAAATATGTCATAAAAATGTCACAATGCTATGGATAAATTGTAGTTCACATTTTTGCCACCGGCACTTAAAAGTTTGTGATACTTCGATACTGACATTCACTTGGCATCGATGCGATGCCGGCATCGGTGCGCGGATCCGATGCGATTTATCTGATACCGATGCGCATCGATTTCACAAATATCTAAAAACGCCTATCTCTACTTCTTCTACCGTCAAAAGTTGTGAGATCCATGTTATGC